CCCGCTCACTCCATAAGCAGCTTTCTGACCTTTGTAAGAGAAATGAAGTTGAGTGCTGCTGAATTAGAAGATTTTTTTGTAAAAACAAATTGTTTTTGTTGGAGATAACTGTAGTGTGAGAAAACACTTGTGCAGACTGACAGTATAAATTCAGGAATGTGAGAGTCAGGATCAACTGTGTTGGTGAGTTTAGCTGAACTGAGCCGTGCAGCCATGTTGTTTGTTACTGCAGTAGCATTGCGTTGTCTGTTTGCCTTTCCTGTTAGGTGAGCTTGACTTTATATTTGCTGCTTTTAATTTTTTTTTTAAGATTAGATAATGTAGTTTGTTTCTACCTTAAATATTTGAATGGAAATTTCAATGTGAATTATAGCTTTCTTTGTTTTTATGCTAGGTTACCTATAGTCCCATGTTAGTTTACATGTTAGTGTTATATCATGCACAGCTGCCTTGCAATGTATCATCTCTGCTAATAATCACAACAACAACAACAGCAATAATAATAATAATAATGACATGTATTATGATGAATATGACTTGCTTGAGGGTCCAGAGTCTAGTGACTCCCAGTTTATGTTTATTAATATTCATTGATTTTGTTAGTTTATTAGTTATTTGTTATTATTTCCAGTGTTTAGGTCTCTCTGTGCCTCCCTGGTGTTACTTGTGTTGTGTCTAGTGTTCTTGGTTCTATGTTCCCCTTTCCTGTTTTACTTCGGAGAGTCCTGTGCGTCAATGCATTCTGTTTTGCTTCCACCTGGTCTCATCTCGTCTGATTATTGTGAGCTGTGTTCCCTGCCTGTCTGCCGTTTCCTCACTTCCCTGTGTGTAATATATAGTGTGCGCTTGCCTCTGTCAGATTGTCTGTTTTCTCCTGTTTGTCATCCCCGTGTTTCATCCTGCATTTCCTCCTCAAGGTCTCCATGTTTTAGGTTCCGCGTTTCCAGTTTCAGGTTTTTGGTAATGTTTTCTATGTTCCTCGTGTTCTTTAATTTAGCTTTTCCCGGTTTAGATTTTTGTTAGTTTTTTCTCAGTTCCTCCGCCACCTTTTGTTTTGTAGATTTTTGTGCAGTCAAGAATAAAGGCTCATTTTTGTTAAAGATCCACATTCATCTCCATTGTCTGCGTTTGGGTCCAGTTTATGTTTGGGGATGAATATCTGTATGTTTTATGTGTCTTTGTGCCTTGTCTGTGTCATTTCATTACATTTCAGTTTCTTTTTAAATGCTTTATAAAGCAAAAATAGTCTTTACTTTCGATGAAGTCACGCAAAATACTTCACAAATAAAAACTGTCTAAATAAACATAAAATATGGAATTAGTATAAAAACGATAAAATCTCGACTACCACACTCTCATATCTTACATGTACAAACGTACTAAATATCTTGTTCATCACATAGACGTTCTAAATGGCACTATGAACATGTTAGTTGCTGGTAGGTCTTGGGCTACACAAGTGGTGCTTTTTGTTAATTGTTCTGTTTATAATTATATCCATAACTTTTAAGGATTTAATTTTTAGCCATAGTCAAATTGTCAGAGGTTTCAGTTCAGAGATCATGGGAATATTTTTCTTTTTAATTTATATTTTATGTGGGCTTTCTAGCTTCAACTAGTGCCCACTGATTCCTGCTGGGAAGGTTTGTTGTTAACTGGGCTCTAGTACTTCCAAGTCTGAGAGTGTGTTTAAGAGATAGCTGACCAATCAAATCAATTCATTTGTATTTATTTAGCACCAAATTACAAACATTCAACCTGAGGCACTTTGTTTTGTAACATGAAGACCCTACAATAATAGAGAGATAACCCCAAAAATCAATCTTCCCTTTTTGAGCAAGCACTTGGTGACAGTAGGAAGGGAAAACTCCCTTTAACAGAAGAAACCTTCAGCAGAACCAGATATACTTTCATCTAAAGACAGAATAAAGAAGATACTGTGGAAGAGAGCGATAGTTTAATAATAACTAATGATTAAATGCAAAATGTCGTTTAAATACTTACATAGTGAGTAGGGGAGACCAGGGATAGTTGTAACATTTTTGACATTTCTGTCTGTAAATTGGAGCTCTTTTAAGGTAGTGGATTCAAAATGTAATGCAAAGTATTTACATGTCTCGGCTATTAAATAGTGCAGCTATTTTCTCTGCAGCACAATTAC